CTCTCCCTCTCCCTCTCCCTCTCCCTCTCCCTTTTTCTCTATCTCTCATAGAAACAGAGGCATGGATGTAAAGGAGAGGGAAGGTGGCTGGAGATGGAAAAAGTGGAAGGAGTGAAAAAATTTTTAAAAAGGTACTTATCTTAGATATTGTGATACAGCATCAAGAGGTAAACTAGCACAAGTATTAAATGATGTTTAAAAAACTTATACACAGGCTGCCAATTTGCATCCTTTCTTTTTACATGCCTATTAGTGTCTTGGCTCATTATTAAATTGAATTATCTGTTTGATATTACTGAGTTGTTTTGTATTTTATATCATTTGTAATGAAGCTGTAGTCTTCAGATGTTTTTTCTCAAGCCATTAGATTATTTTTTTATTCTCTTAATTGTCCTATGTGGTGGCACATAATATTTTTAGGATGATAAGAGTTTGTGTTTTGTTACTTATGCTTTGGGATTATATTGACAATATCATTATTGAGATTTTTTCTCTACTGTTTTGTTGCTGATGTTGTGATTTTATAGTTTCAGTCCCTAAATTTGTGTCTTTCATTGACTTTCAGTTGGTATATGTAAGTGGATGAGATAGCTAACTTTTCTTGTGTATATGGTAATCCAGTTTACATAACAGATTATTAAAAAGGGTGAACTCTTGTTTACTTTATGTCTATGAAATCCACATAAATCATAGTTGACTCTGAAATTATGTTGCAAACTCTGTGTTCAATATTCTGATTAGTCTTGTGGTGGTTTAAATGGCTATTCCCTCCAAAGGTGTCTGGAACTGATACGTGTCCCCAGTTGGTGGGGTTGATTGGGATATTTAAGAGATTTCTATTTTCTGAAGGAAGTGCATCGTTAAGGAATGGGTTTTGAGAGATTAAATACTGGAGCCAATTTCTACATTCAATCTGACTTTAATTTTATATATAATACATGTCCAACTTAATTGTCTAGCAGAACAATGTATGATTCTCCCAGTTATCTTTGTAGGAGTGATAATGCTTTATCTATTGTACTTTTGTCAACATTCTACAAAAGCTATGCCATTTTTATTATCATAAGTTTATAATCAAGTCAGAATTTGGATACTAGAGTATCTAAAACTGTGATCCTTTTGCTGAAGACTACATTGTTCTGTGTTTTGTGATTTGTTTTTTGTTTGTATCCTTATTTTAATTTGAGAGAAATTTTCCTGAAGCCTGTGTTGTCTTCATATCCATGATGTTAACGGCTAACCACAAGAGCTTTTATTAGATGTGAGCACTAACTTGTTTGATATTATTTATCATCTTCTGAGTTCCTTACGATATAATCTCACAATTGCCCTTCTGAGCTCATTCTCCAACACTTTTAAATCAA